TTGCCCCTGCATCTTACTGGCTGGGATCTTCTCGCCGGTGATGGGTGAGATGAGGTACTCGTCGGAAACTGCCACTGAAGGCGGGGGTCTAGAAGCTGGAAGGAGACACTGAAGAGAAATTAGCACAAAGTTGATCTTTTCATGGCATGCGGTGATAAGCGATTAAAAAAAAAAGGTCACCTTTGGGGTCGTAGTCCTTGCGAATGATGACCTGGTCTGGAGATGGAGGCAGGGGAGGTGGCATCGGGTTGTCAGGCGGCAGAGGAGCTTTGATGCCCATGTCCTCATCATCGGATCCCTGAAGAAGAAAAATTCACCACGTGTTACTGAAACTGACACGGTTTCGCTGTTGTCACGACTCTAGCGGAATGTTGACCACGTCTACGACTTCCTACCTCATCCATGTCCTGAACCTGAGTGTCCTGGTCGGGCTGCGAGGGCTGGCCATTGTCCCGGCGCTCTCTCTCGTCCTCTTCGTCTTCACTCTCAACCTCCATCTCCACCTCTTCACTCTCGCCGTACTTTTCGTAGCGCTCCTGGATCAGGATACGAGCGCCGAGCTCCTCTGGTGTGGTTGGTGGCGGGAAGTGACCTGGGGAAGACGGACAGACAGATGGAAATTTAGATTGTTCCGTTTTGGCAATATTTAGACGGGTAGATTCAAAGATACAAATTGAGTGTAAAAGTGACCTTGTTCGTTGGGCTGGAAGTCCACAGTTTCCACGACGACAAAATCGTGCCAGTCAATCTGAGCGTAGGCCACCCTCTCCTTCTCTCGTTCCTCCTCTTCCTTCTTTCGTTCACGCTCCTGGTACTTTGCCCATTCCACTCGGTATCGTACCTGGTGGTGAAATATCGTGATTAATGAATTAACGATATTAACTGTTTCCCAATATCCGATATGGTACAAACACTTCATTTCCAATTCCGATCCTAATGGATACCGTTATACCTGACCCAGCTGCAAAATGAGCTGCAATGCTGCCCTCTAGCGGTTTTTACTTTCATATAGTCATTTTTTCACAAGAATTTTTAGGCTACATCATTTGGCAAAACCCAGACATTGCATTATGGGGTTTTCATTATTGGTGGAAAAACCGATAACGATTCTTACAGATATTACATAATTATTAATTATTAACTTTTTAATTATTAATTATTAACTTTTTGCCAATATCCGATATGGTCCGAACACCTAATTTCTGATTCCAATCCTAACGTTATTACATGATTATGCTAATATCGGTCAGTCAACGTTATCGGACATCCCTAAATCTAAGTCATCATTTACCTGGTCCATGACCTCTTTTGGATTCTCCGACTCATTCTTCAGCTTGACCAAAAGGCCTTTGGGAGGAATGAGTATCTAGAGGTGGACAAGATCGAGACACGGTTAGGCTTGGACTCAGAAACAGAGGCTAACCGAATCAGAGGGGACGTTTTTAAAAAGGGTCACCTTAGTGTACTGTTCCACCAGTTTGGTGAAGTAGTTGAAAAGGCTGTGCTGCGGCCTCAGAAAGTCAAACTGGTAGTTCCGCTGCTCTTTCTGCATTAGCTGAGTGAGAAACTGTCGGCCGTTGCGAGCGACGAACTGAGCAGTGAGTTTGACAACGTCCAGGTCGAAGGCGGAAATTGACGGAGGATCGGCGATGAACTCGAACTCGGCTGGAGGCTCTTTAGGAATGACCGTCTCCTGGATGACCTGCGACTGCACCTGTCAAGAACATCAATCATAATCAGTGTATACAGTCCCCCGGTGGTCAGTTTGATCTAAACGTGTATTTAGAAGTGTATTTGTATTACCTTTTGAGGCAGCTGCTGGAACTGCTGCATGACCTTAGGCACGGCCGCGGACGGTTCCTGCGCTTTGCCCTCCTTAAATTCATTGACCTTGTGGCGGTAGTAGGCATGGTAGGGGTCGTTGGGATTGAGGAAATTGAATTTCGGATTGTTGATTTCATTTTGACGAATTCTCGCCTCAAACTCGGGTCCATTTCTGCGTAACGATAACTTAGCTTCGTAAAAAAAAAACTCGCATCATAAACAGAAACCCAGGGTGAAAAAAAAGATTACAACCAACCTGGCAACAAAGCTGGCGGTCTTGTCAACTATGTTGCGGACCTCCGGTGGTGGGTATATGATGCCGACGATGGGCTTGGTGGCTGGGGTTTCTTCTGGGGTTGCTGTGTCATTCTGTCCAGAAAAACACAAAAACAAAACGCACCTTTTAGACTTGCGAGTATATTAAATTATAAAAAAAAAAATAGGCTAAAATTATAACCTCTTGTGAAGACTTTTTTTTCTGAACATTTGCTACAGAAGAGCCATGACCGCCATTTTGGGAACCACAACGGCACCGGGGTGACATTAAACCCAGTACCAAAACAATAAATAAACACGTAATAAATAATAAGTCGCCGGCAGCGGAAATAGTTTTTAGATTCTGTGAAGTAACAAATCAGCTGTTTGAATAAAAACAGCTATTGTTTATGGTCTACTCGATAAATGTGAGCTTTAAAATATTCTAAATATATAACTGGAAATAAAAGGTAACAAAACTTCGAACCTTCCAATGAACGTTAGCTTGTAGTCGTAAACAGCAGCGGGTCGGCGTCAGCTAAATGCTAACAAAATAAACCTTTAGCCCGTTGCGCTATATTATACGTAACTTCTAGCGTGTATATTTATTTATTTATTTAATTAACGATATGAATCTATTACCTCTAATTTAACTGGTACGTCGGCATTACTAGCAGTAGTTAACCTGAAACGAGGACTTTACCTTGTTGTTCGGCTCTGGTTGAACTATTTGAACAGGCCCGGGCGGCATGGCGGCGTCTTTGTGGAAAGCCGGAAGTTACTTGCAAAATCTCCCCCAAAACAAACGTAGAGTCAATACAATTATGCGGGTTTTTAACAAAAAATTAGAGTGTGGTACATGTGGACATTTTAGTCACGAAAAGGCCGTAGCGCTACTCACAGAGTCGCGCTGTCGTTGATCTAATGGACGCGTATCACTTCCGGTAACACGCCGCAAAGCACGACGGGTGTTGCAGTACCGTATTCTAGCGTTAGTTTCCACGGAGATGTGTAGCAACAAGCGGGGCGCGCTCGCACTTCTCGACCCTCGGTCATGAGTCAGCTCCTGGATCACCAGGACTGTATCGAAAGACTTCAAAAAGATCTCGTCGACCTCCAAGGTGCCGTTCTGGATGTTTTCTCGAGAACCGGACCCGTTCGTGTTCCCTCCTGGAAGTTCCCCGATAAACTGTCCTGTCACCTGGACATGGTGGCTCTGCTGGACGAGTACGACTTTGTGGACGGAGACGGTGCGTCGAATCAACACTCCCACGTAGTTCTACTAGAACTCGTGATTGACAGGTAGGAACGTCCGTCTCCGTATCCGCCCACCCTACTGTTGACATGTCATTCTAATGCACGCGTGGTTGATACACTATATTACCAAAAGTATTCGCTCACCTGCCTTGACTCATACTATGAACTGAAGTGCCATCCCATTCCTAACCCAGAGTTCAATATGATGTCGGTCCACCTTTTGCAGCTATTACAGCTTCAACTCTTCTGGGAAGACTGTCCACAAGGTTGAGGAGAGTGTTTATAGGAATTTTTGACCATTCTTCCAAAAGCGCATTGGTGAGGTCACACACTGATGTTGGTCGAGAAGGCCTGGCTCTCAGTCTCCGCTCTAATTCATCCCAAAGGTGTTCTATCGGGTTCAGGTCAGGACTCTGTGCAGGCCAGTCAAGTTCATCCACACCAGACTCTGTCATCCATGTCTTTATGGACCTTGCTTTGTGCACTGGTGCACAGTCATGTTGGAAGAGGAAGGGGCCCGCTCCAAACTGTTCCCACAAGGTTGGGAGCATGGAATTGTCCAAAATGTTTTGGTATCCTGAAGCATTCAAAGTTCCTTTCACTGGAACTAAGGGGCCAAGCCCAGCTCCTGAAAAACAACCCCACACCATAATTCCTCCTCCACCAAATTTCACAGTCGGCACAATGCAGTCTGAAATGTACCGTTCTCCTGGCAACCTCCAAACCCAGACTCGTCCATCAGATTGCCAGATGGAAAAGCGTGATTCATCACTCCAGAGAACGCGTCTCCACTGCTCTAGAGGCCAGTGGCGGCGTGCTTTACACCATTGCATCCGACGCTTTGCATTGCACTTGGTGATGTGTGGCTTGGCTGCAGCTGCTCGGCCATGGAAACCCATTCCATGAAGCTCTCTGCGTACTGTACTTGGGCTAATCTGAAGGTCACACGAAGTTTGTAGCTCTGTAGCAGTTGACTGTGCAGAAAGTCGGCGACCTCTTTGCACTAGGGGCTTGTTTTCCCCATGCGCAAGGCTCCTGCTCCTCCTGCAGAGCTTCGATTTCTACACGCAGAATGTGAGGTGCATCCAGCAGAGGGCGCCAACCCCGCAGAAAGGATGTCCGTCAGTTGGCGTGGTGGTCAAAAACTATTGGAGCGCTTTACTTGATTTTGTCAGGACTGCTGTAAGTAACACCCCCCTCCTCTAACACATTGTTTCCCTTGTTTCACTGGGTTGCGACCCTCAAGGGGGGTTGCAAGAGATATTTTTTGGGGGTTCGCATCGTGTGTTTTTCATGCTTTCCTCCTTTTCCTTACATTACTTCGAAGGACATCAATGGACCTCAGACAAAACCCAAAGGATTTGACTGTAGCACCACAGCGCCACCAACACACCCAACCCCGCCGCTGCAGCCGAGAACCGAAGGCTCTGGACATTGCTCTTCTGCCTCGTCGTCTTTAAGCTCTTTTCATTTTTTGCCACAGAGCCAGGCGGCCTTCAGCGCTTCCGACGACGATCCCTTCATCCCTCACCCCGACACCGATGGCGTTCCCGAAGTGCGTCCCGCCCCCTGCAAAGACTGTCGGCAAATCCAATCGGTTCTGAAGACGACGGGCGGCGCCTTGGTGAAACTGCTGCAGAACGAGGGTCTGCCCTCTTCTCTGCAGCTACTCCTGTCCGCCATGAAGAACCTCCTAGAATCGAGCTGCGGCATTTGACGTCGGAGTTGGAAATGACACGTCCGGACTCCAAATGGCAAATGGAAAAGCAGCAGGCAACCGTTGTCCGGCTGGAGTTTTCGATGAACAAGGCGGAGCGATCCCTGAAGGCGGCAGAGCAAAGTCTACAAGAGAAGAAACGGCAACTCGAAAGAGGTTCAGATAACGTAAAGAAATATGACCAAAAAACAGAGACGAATCGGAGATCACAGTCTTCGTTTTTTTTTAACAGAAACTTTGTGTTTGGAGCAAAGGAACTCCAGGCTTCAAGAGATAGTAGTGGCGCATCAGGAAACGCTACAAGTACTTGGTAAAAACACTAAAAAGTGCAGGTCATGTCCCGATAATTAATTAATTCCCGATTCCAATATCAACCGATACCGATGCCCTCAAGATCACTAGGTTGATGGATTAAAGCAGTGTTTTTTTTATTATATTCTGGCATGCTCCCCCTAGCGGACAAACATGTATTTGTTTATCTGTACAAACAACTGTATGAGTTGCCGACACCAGCGACTGTTAAAATAGATTAATAAAATGAGCCGCAATACTGCCATCTAGTGGCTTTTACGTTCACATACAGCCAATACAACCCATAACGATTCTCGCCGATATTACATAATTATTCAAATATCAGGCCGATAAAATGGCTCTGCCGATATTATCGGACATTTCTATTAATATTAATTGTTATCTGTCCAATTAAGTGAAATTAGATATTTTTTCACGGTACACCTGAAAAAACACTTTTTTTTTTAATCGGCAGAAAGTGAAAAGATTGCGCTAGAGGAGAAATTGAAGTCAGAGAGCGAGGCTTGTCATCTTCTCCGACAAACAGTTCAGGAACTGCAGGCTCAGATTTCAGAAAGCCGGATCCTTCTGGACAAAGAAAACACCAAGTTTGACAGTGCACGTCGACAACAGGAGGCAAGTGCTGCAACGGAAAAAAAAAACGGGCTGTTTGTTGTTTTCTTAACAGAAACGTTAGCGTGTCGAAGTAAAAAAGTGTTGTTTTTTTTGTTTTTTGTTTTTTTTGCTGTTCATCCAGTCGATGCAAACGAAGCAGAAATCTCTGCTGGAGCGAGTGGAGGCCCTGGATGAAGAGCTGCAGAGGTAGTTGGAGGAGCGCCGCTATACTCAGGTTCAACTGGAGGAGGAGCTACAGCGGATGACGGAGGAGAAGGAGCGACTGCAAGTTCAACTGAACAAACAGCAGGTAGCCCCCGAGTTCCTACCATTGACACACTTGAAATTTCCATTGATATAACAAATATTTGGGTCGGCTTCAGATAGTTATATCTGATGATCGTATTGTTGTTTGTAATTGATCCGGTTGATTATGATTGATGACGATAAATCAACGTTCTTAAATACGAGCACGTTTTTTTGGTATCGGATAAGCGGATAAAAATTGAAGGATGAATATTAAATGTCTGCCATTTCCCTGCAATGCCCACGTTTCCCCAGTAGATGGCGTAGAAAATTATAAAAGCATTTTAGCCTTTTTTAGCATGACTTTAACATGTCATTTATCTTAGTTCACCCATCTCCATCTATCGGCTTTTTTTACCCTCACCCCGTTCAACTTTAGGACATCGTACAAATACGATCTCTTTTCCCCCCTCTACAGGACTGTGGTTCGCAGAAAGAGAAACAGATGCTGGAGGCCAACATCCGTCAGCTCGATAAGGACGTGGCCGAGCTGAGGGAACACGTGCTGACGCATAGGGAGAGGCTGCTGGTGGCTTTCCCGGAGCTCAGTCCACTGGCTCAGGCGCAGCCGTGGAGTAGGTTCAATTGGTGGATTCTGGTCCCAAAACGCTAGGCTAGCTGAGGCTCCTTATGCACTGACATTCATTTATTTCATTGGAACTCTACTTGTCCTGCTAATCCAGATTAGCATGTAGCAGTTTTCACACGGAGCCAGTAGTCTGTAACTGGTATTACTGGATAAATTAGGTGGTATTCCCGTGCTATCCTCCAAAGGTGTGGACTCGAGTCGCATGACATGGACTCGGGTCAGACTCGAATCATCGATTTGATGACTTTAGACTGGACTTGACAAAATGTAAAGAGACTTGCAACTCGACTTGGACTTTAACGTCACCGACTCATGACTTCACTCGCACTTGAGCCCTTTGACTCGACAAGACTTGATACTTTCTCCAAAATCCAAAGGTTATAAAGTAAGTTATTAAGACCCATGTTGTTTTGACGCATTTAGCATTGAGCCAATCAAATTCCGGCACAACCAATGAGGAAGAGCCAGAGGTGTGGACTCGAGTCGCATGACTTGGACTCGAGTCAGACTCGAGTCATCGATTTGATGACTTTAGGCTGGACTTGACACAATGTAAAGAGACTTGCAACTCGACTTGGACTTAAATGTCAACGACTCGTGACTTCACTCGGACTCAAGCCCTTTGACAGCCACAGTGATCTGTGTAAATATATTATTATTTTGTTTAAAAGGACTCGAAACAGAAACGGCAGGACTTGGGACTTGACTTGACACTCTTCAGTCTTGACTTGGACTTGACTCGGACTTTGCCTGTCCTGACTTGAGACTTGAGACTTGACTCGGTTTTGAGTGCAAAGACTTGAGACTTACTTGTGACTTGCGAAGCAATGACTTGGTCCCACCTCTGGTAAAAGCTGTTGAACAACGCGCGGATGAGAGAAAATGATACCGAAGATCGTGTTGTTCGGATTTAAAAACTACGAGGTGGTCAACAAAAAACGAGTGGCAGTGATCTGTGTGAATATATTATTTTTCTGGTTAAAAGGACTCGAAACAGAAACGGCAGGACCTGGGACTTGAGACTTTTCAGTCTTGACTTGGACTCAACTCGGACCTTGCCTGTCCTGACTTGAGACTTGACTCGGACTCGAGTGCAAAGACTTGAGACTTGACTCGGACGAGTGCAAAGACTTGAGACTTGCGGAATCACCACAAACTGACCACGGGCTTGGGCAGAAGAACCAGCTATAAGTTACCCATGGTACCGGATGGTGACAGAGTTCGTAACGGACTGTTTGACAAAACTAGTTTATTTTCTATACTCCGCAGCTATAGTAGCAGCAGTAGCATCGGCAACGTGGGCCACGAGCGCAGTGACAGCGGCGTGATGTCAGTCGGAGGGTCGCCGCGAGTCCCCCTCTCAGCCGGTACGCCTCCCAACCCTGCAACTCAAAATTCTGCAACACGCTGCCGCGAGGTGCCGGACGGGCACACAGTGTTTCCGTTCACTCCCACGGTAGAGGCTTAAGACAGCGGAAATAAACACCTAAAATACAGACGTCGTCGACGTCTGTGTTTATTTGGATTCTTTGCGGAATCTCGTACAAATGATCGGAAGCCGATGAGGAAAACCTGCATTAGTATGTGTATATATGTGTTAGATAACTACTCTTACGCCACAAGATGTTGCTGTTTTGTTTTGTCAAACAAAGTGTTTTACTGTCGACCTCCACTAGGGGGATCGTAATAAAGTTTTAATGTAAATATTCCTAGCTGCTTGTCATTTGTTGTGGAAAATTTTCTTCAGCGTGTCGCAACAGAAAATGTTTTTTGTAAATGTATAAATTAATGTAGTCTATCTTGTATGTTATTCCAATGAAGTTGTATTATTCAGTTGGGTCAATCCGGCTGAAGGTCTAATCCGCTTCTCTCGCGGGAAATTGCGAAGTTTCCGGTGTTGTGTATGTTCCTGGAAACATGGCGGCCAGCTTCCGCGGCCGTCCTATCCGGAGTCTTCGGATGCGAGGTAGGCATAATAAACTAGACCCTGTGGTTGCTCTGTTTGCGGGAATATTGCGATGAGACGTCAACTCGGACATTTCGCGACCCTTGGCTCATGTATTCCCCATGTTTGTGATGTTTTTCGTGGCAGGTCGGAATGACAGCGGGGAGGAGAACGTACCGCTGGATCTGACCAGAGGTAAGCAGAGGCTTCATCACATCACCCTCAAAGAGATTATTGTTCGATATGGACGAGGAGCATTTCTCTACATACACCGCAGCTCCACGAAGTCAACCCCAATCAGTTCGCCGACTCGTGTTGTCTGTGTTGCCGTTCTGTTGTCACTACCACCCGTTTTTTAATTTATTTTTTTATTTCCCATAGCCGTTAGTAGCATAATATGAGACGACAGTCGGCTAACTAGCCGCGTTAGCATCGGCTAGCTGCCTCAGTTAACCAGCCATGACGACGCTTCGTTGTTTTGGTCCGTATGAGTAGTCATTTATGCTAGTTAACAGCCATTAGGAGTTACACTCGTACGTTTTGTCGTCGTTTAATTCTCGGGTAAACTGGGTTTCGGGGCCGTTTAACGAAGCTACCATTGGGGCAGCGGCACTGTGGCTGCGCACGGCTTTTTCATTGTGGTACTGTCACACTGAAATAGACAGTGCCACTCCACGATACCGACACGATACGACACGACACACCAGAGCTGGGCTCTTATTTGGTTTTTGTTATTGTGTACGTGTAACGTTAGACCGGTTACATGTAACAATATAGAACGAATTGAATGACCATTCAAAACCAAGGTCACAAACCGTAGCCAAATCAAGCTAGTCGCACTCCAGATACATTATATGCTTGCTAAGTGACATATGGTATACCGTGTTTTCCGCACAATAAGACGCATTTAAAAGCCTTTAATTTTCTCAAAAATCGACAGTGCGCCTTAACCCGATGCGCTGTACGGTCCGAAAAATACGGATATATATATTTATATAAAAAATTACTCCATTAAGAAAATGTTTTTTTTCTTTTCGCAGCATTTGTAGCCAAAATAAAATGAAACTTAACAAGACTGAAATGATGGCGACTCTGTGCTAAACGTTAGCTGCGGAGACACTTATTTTTTGCCTCGTGTTCTTTATAATTTGATGGTCATTTCGCAAAAAAAAACGGTCTTCCAGTCATTCAAAAGATTTACTGTAAATTATAGGGATTTTTTTTAACGAGCGGCCTCTCACAGTGCCCGGTAAGTAGCTTGAATTATGTCGGACTCGTTGGAGACAACGACAAAAAACAGAGAACGATTTTGCGAATAAAAAAATCCAAAAAATTGGTTTGTTAGTTTTCCTGTTCGCGTATTAATCGGTTTATGAAGACAACGACACCGATGTTATCGTCGGCAGACGTGAGAAAACCACTTTTCAGATGGAGATTCACGCGACGGTCCATGGTAAAATGTTTGTAAAATTTTTAGCTAAGGTTTCCGTCTGCATACGCTTTTTTTTTGTCTGCAACATTGTTGTTCATTCCTGTGATTGACGGAAAAAGAGTAAAACGTAAAGTTTAGCTAGCTTTACGTGATCCCTATAGCTCGAAATTCTTAATGAATTCATTAGGAATGATTCTTATAATTAGGAATAATATATTATATATATACATACAGATAATCAAATATATATATATATTTGATTATCTGTATGTATATATATATATACATACATATAATCAAATATATATATATATTATATATTTATTATATATATTTATATATAAATATATATAATAAATATATAATATATATATATATTATATATTTATTATATATATTTATATATAAATATATATAATAAATATATAATATATATATATATATATTATATATTTATTATATATATTTATATATAAATATATATAATAAATATATAATATATATATATATATTATATATTTATTATATATATTTATATATAAATATATATAATAAATATATAATATATATATATATATATTTGATTATATGTATGTATATATATATATACATACAGATAATCAAATATATATATATATATATATATTTGATTATCTGTATGTATATATATATATACATACATATAATCAAATATATATATATATTATATATTTATTATATATATTTATATATAAATATATATAATAAATATATAATATATATATATATTTGATTATATGTATGTATATATATATATACATACATATAATCAAATATATATATATATTTGATTATCTGTATGTATATATATATATACATACATATAATCAAATATATATATATATATTTGATTATCTGTATGTATATATATATATACATACATATATTTAGGAATAATTCATCATACAACAAATTAATAAATATTTCGATATTATTTTAATGAGGTCATAACAAATCTCTATAGTCGTTACACGATTGGCTGTTTTTTTTTCCGCCAGATGAAACGTAATCCGTGTCATCTGATCTGAAACTTTTTTTTGTTTTATGAATGGGATTGTTGACAGTTGCCACATATTTATCGGTTTCCTCAACTAAGAGGATGTCGTTGACAAAATAAGGAGGTAAAAAAAGAAAGGGGGGGTAAAAACAGCCCACTTCCTGCTTGGTGTCTTAAGCTGTTGACCTTGTTTGGACTGTACACACCAATACAGTTTGACCGGCTTAGCTTCACTTCCTTTCTGCAACATATCACCCGTTATTGCCATTATTGTGGCAACACGACTCGATGCCCAACTCGGTTACAATGTTACGATGTGTTTCCTGTTTGTCTGTTCCTCCTCCAGAGCCGTCGGAGAACTTCAGAGAAATCCTCCAAAACGTGGCCAAACAACATGGAGTTAGCAACATGCGAAAGCTGGGCCACCTGCACAACTTCATCAAGGGCGCGGCGCGTTTGATTCCTCGGTCAAACGGTTGGTTTTGGCAAAGGCAAGTGGGCGCATGAACCCCCTCCCATTCGTCCGAGATGAGCAGCTGTAACGGAACTGTACTGTTTTGTTTACAGCGGGTGCGACCGTCACCGCGCTTGTTCCTGCGGTACTGTTGTAGCTAATGTTAGTTCTGGTGTTTGTAGCAAGACTGTTTGTAGCAAATGTTAGCTTTGGTGTTTGTAGTAGGGCTGTTGTAGCTAACGTTAGCTTTGTTGTCTGTACCATGACTTTTGTAGCTAATGTTAGCTCTGGTGTTTGTAGCCTGACTTCTGTAGCTAATGTTAGCTCTGATGTCTGTAGCATGACTTCTGTAGCTAACGTTAACTCTGGGGTCTGTAGCATGACCTTTGTAGCTAATGTTAGCTCTGGTGTCTGTAGCATGACTTCTGTAGCTAACGTTAACTCTGGGGTCTGTAGCATGACCTTTGTAGCTAATGTTAGCTCTGGTGTCTGTAGCATGACTTCTGTAGCTAACGTTAACTCTGGGGTCTGTAGCATGACCTTTGTAGCTAATGTTAGCTCTGGTGTCTGTAACAGGACTTTTGTAGCTAATGTTAGCTCTGGTGTTTGTAGCATGACTTCTGTAGCTAACGTTAACTCTGGTGTCTGTAGCATGACTTCTGTAGCTAACGTTAACTCTGGGGTCTGTAGCATGACCTTTGTAGCTAATGTTAGCTCTGGTGTCTGTAGCATGACTTTTGTAGGTAATGTTAGCTCTGGTGTCTGTAGCATGACCTTTGTAGCTAATGTTAGCTCTGGTATATGGACAGAACCAATGTTGCAACTTAACGTCCAGAAAGCGAGAAAAGTCCAGACACGACCTCAGATCTTTCACCCGCTTTTAACACTCGTTCTACGACATTTGGACAGGCTACATGCGTTGTAGCCCCATTAGCTTAGCAACAGGAAGTCCACAATCCGTGACGTGTAAACAGTTTACTTTACAGCTACGTGTGCCCCTAAAGGCGACGTAAAATACGGGGACGATTCGGCAAATGTGTTTCGTTCGCCGTGATGTGAAATGTCAGTCAACGTCACATTTTGCAAAATCAATTCTCTTCATAATTTCTTTTTTTTTTTTTTTTTGTGCAGCTGATATGCAGCATAGGCCACCGTGAAGAAAACTTTGGGTTTACGCACGAAGAAATCATAGTTTGGTGAGTGTTGTCGCAGTTTATTTAAGAAAAATGCTAACCCACACGCGATTCAATGTTTTATTTATTTCTCACCCCAGTCTTCGACTAGCTCTGCTAAATGAGGCCAAGGAAGTGCGTGCTGCGGGTTTGCGGGCCCTGCGCTACCTCATTAGAGACACCAACGTTCTGCAAAAGGTCCTCAGACTGCAGGTTGATTATTTAATTGCCAGGTGAGTTCCTCAGTCCTGTTGCTTTTTTTAACAGTCAAAAATTCCACCACAATTTAAAGGTGACATCTGTGGGGGGGGGGGGGGGGGGGTTGGGGGGG